GGCAAAATTCAGATAATTCACATAAAGCAGTTGTAGCTATACCGGGCACTCAATAAATGTCCCCTATTAATATTGTATTATACAAAATCCTATGTGATTAGGACTATAAGTGCTAATGTTTCAAGTTAAAGATCTTTACTACCTTTCTTAATGACTCTCCAAAATTAGGATCTTGTTTTTTTCTCTTTTTGGTAAACTGTTCATTTACTTTATATTGTTTATTATCTGTAATTATCTTTTTTTCCTTGTTGCTTGACACATTTTTTGATGCTATAAGCACCAGAGAGAAGGGCTTGTTCACCATTGTAACTATAGTACCTGGCATAGTTCTTGTCATATAGCAGGAATTTAGCGTGTATTTGTTGATGAAATATTTAGTATATCTCACATTCCTAGCAAAATGGAGATTTTGGAGATTTATGTTTTGGTCTGTTTTTATTCTTAGTTTAACTAAATATGATATTTATTTGTAATACTGTGGTCTGTTTTGTGTGCCATAAGGGAGAATTTTCCTTTATCACTTTCTTGCAGTTTCTTATATGCAGCTCAAATTGGGGGAGAGAACAAGAATGTCAATAATGAAATTTCTTTGTCTTACAAAATAGCTTTTCCTATTCAAATAATATACTTTTAAAGTGTAGAATAACTTTGACTCTCAAGGAAAATTTGAAGCATGACATTGTACAATATTAACATCATCTATATTGATCATTCATTTTGGAGCGCAACCAAAGTATATTTGTTATTAAATTACCTAGAAGGCCTTGAAGTACTCTTACAGAATGAATGCTAAGGTAGTATTATACGGACATAATAGTTAAATTAGAGTTAAATTGAGAGTTAATTTTAGAGTTAAATTGGTTGTGATTTTAAGTGTTTTATCTTAGAAGTGCATGACTTTAAATGTTTGTAGTTAAGAATAATTTTCTAGCCAATGTATAAACAACTGGAAAGCATATACCTAAACCAAGTATGGTGAGATATACTTGTAATCCCAGTTACTTGGGAGGCTGAGCCAGGAGGATTGCAAGTTTGAGGCCAGCATGGGCAACTCAGCAAGACTCTGTCTTAAATTAAAAAATCAAAAAGGGGCTTAGGATCTGGCTCCTACAGGTTCCCTCTCCTGTACATGATCGTTTGATGCACGCATAATTATTTTTAAAGCAGGGAAGGGGTGTGACTCAGCGCAAGACCCTACCTTTAATCCCCAGTTCCAGAGAGTGGGGAGAATTGGGGTGATGAGGTAGGATGCTTCATAAAAACTGGAGTGTTTTATTCCAGATCACAGTAATTACTTGTAACTTTTTCTTGCTTTCAAAATGCAAAGCTGTACTTAATGACATCCTCTAACATCAATATTTAATGGAGTTTTATATTTTTTTTTACCTTGGTACTTTCAATATTTATATGTTCTTGGAATTCAGTACACTGTTTTGTTAGATACGTCTTATAAAAATATTTTGTTTAGAGCAAAAATATTTTTAATGGAAGCAAAAAATATTTTAATGGTTTTCTTAGTGTATTACTGTTACTGTATTATGTCAAGCTTTATTCTTGGCTTATTTATTGTATAATCTTAGCTGTATAAGCAGACCTTATTAAAATTCCAATTTTCCTATGAGATAAAATAAAAGCATTGAACTTTTATAATCTTTTGAAAATAATTATAACAACAATCAGACTTTCAGTAAAAATTATTTGTATCTCTGCTTAAAGAATAAGAAATTAATTATCCCAAATAGCTCCTGCCTCTTCAATACCTAAACATGACTTAAATCTTCAAGTAAATAATAAGAAAATTATTTTTTCAGATTAGTTGTTTCTAAGTACTGAATTTTTTAAAAATATATTATCTCAAATTTAGAAGTGAACTTTTTGAAAAATGCTTTTTTCTTAACCAGAACTCATAATGAAAAAAGTTCACCTTATACTAGAGTTGTTTTAACTAACCTTTCTTCCTCAGTTTGTCCTGTGTTGCCATTATATTAAATCAGACCTATATAATGTTATGCTTGAGTTACGATTTTATTTGAGTTGAATCATTGATTTCACATATAGCAAGCATTTCACCTGTCTTTAAAAAAACGATTAACTTAAAAGATGATGCATTTACTACTGAGTAAAACTAAAAGCCCTATCTCATTAAAACAGTATTTTGTGCACACAAATACAAAAGACCTTTAGACTTTTTTAAATCTCTGAAACTAGCGAATTTTGTTTGTGTTATTCTTCAACAGTCTTTGACACAGTGATGACACTGGTAAGCAAGCAAGAATGTTTTTGACCTGACTCTTAGAATACGATTACAAACTATAGTGGGCTCATCACGGGAAATTTAAAAAGTAGACTTTTCAGTATAAGAAGTAGAGGAATAGTGGGTGGTTCCCAGCATTAAAAAATAGAATTCCTTTTGAAGAATACGTCCCACAAAATGTGGCAGTCTAGAATCATCGGAAGCATAGTTCTTCCAGGATTTGGTAATATATTCTGCCAACAGACAATTTAGTCATTAGGGTGGGGACAAAAATCTCAGGTATGTGTATTTGTCTAAGCAGCCATTTGTGGAACACTTCAAATGAATGTATAGAAAATCCTTCTAGTTATTTTACTAATCTTTGGTATGCTACAGATTTTAGTTTTACTTCTTTTATATAAATTAGTAAGAGCAATTCCTAGTACAGTACATATTGCAGGCTGGTCCCCCTACCATATTTGCTCGCAGCCTTACATTTGCTACAATCAGAATAAATAACTGTCTCTTATTTTCATCATCATACTTTTTACTCATTTAAAATTCCTTACAAACCATAGATTGTAGTCTCTTTAAATGTTTTGGCTTTACAAGAAGTAGTATGGCTTAATAGAAGATATATAGAATTTAAAATAAGAATTAGATTGCCTCCTTGGATAGTTATTTTACAAGAAAATTGTTTTAACCTTTGTCTTGATGGTAAATTTGAAACTAAGGATTACTTCTCAGTTAATTCATTTTTTTCAAGTATTAAATGATGTGTTTGTAAAATTGGCATCTGTAAACAACTAATCAGAATTGACAGTGGGATTATGAGCATGTTTATATCTTTTGCAACCTTTATGAGCTTATGAATACTAAAAGGAACAAGACATTTCATTTACTAAATGATGATATATTTTAGTGGTGTGGTATTCACTGTATATAAAACAAATAGATAAAAAATGCAACAGTCTCTGGTTACTAAACATAAATGAGTTTTTGCATATTATAATATTTTTGTGAAAAATACCTTAGGCCCTTTTATGATTATTTTCATAAAAGAATTTAAAAAATGAGTATCAACTGAAACAGTAAGTTTTACAAGTTAGCAGAGACAGATCTATATTCACATTTTTGTCAAATAAATAATAAGTAGTTCTTTTCTGCTGCCACCTTGGTAGCCCATCTATTAGTATTGCAGTGTTAAACTTAGCATATATTATTAATTATTGCACCTTCTACGTTATTAATTTAAGTTAGTAACCCCTGGAATTACAGGGAAATAAATTCTTTTTTTGCAAGTTATATGAGCCAATTTGCTTGTCATTAAGATACGATAACACCCACAACTTAAAAGAGGAGAAGACTAACTTGCTCTCGGTTTCAGTCCATGAGTGGCCAGGTCCAAGGCAGAGACATCATGGAGGAAGGAAGCACATCTTAGAGCAAAACTGGTTATTAGTTCATGGCAGCCACAAAGCATAGTGGAGGAAGAATACTAGAGAAGAAGGGGTAAGGACCAGGCACAGACCCAAAGCCATGCCTCCGTGTCCCATCCAGACACACCTAGAAGTGTATTCCACCAGTTTCCAGGGCAGACTCCAAAGCCAGTCAGGGTGAACCCCACCCGAACTGCCACACCTCACACCTTTTCAACTTGCTACCAAAACAAACCTCTTTCTACTGCATTTAATCTCCAGACAAACACAGCAGCAAATTCATAATTCCACCTGTTATGGTTTAGATCTAAAATGTCCCCCCAAAACCTCGTGTATTCAGAGGTGGGATTTTGAAAGGTGGTTGGATCCTGGGGCTGCTACACTTACTAGTGAGTAGTCCACTGATGAGTTCATAGCTGACCTTGTGCTGTTCAGAGGTGGAGCCTGATCAGAGGGGGTCACTGGAAGCGTATCCTGGAAGGGTCTATCCCTCCCTGCCTCCTCCCTTCACTGCGCTTTCTGGCCACCATAGTGTGAATGGCTTTTCCTCCATCATGCTCTCTGCCATCTTCTTTGTGCCTTGAGCCAGCTGACCATGTACTGAAACTGTGAGCTAAAGTAAACCTGCCCGCCTGTAAACTGTCAGACATTCTCTCTGGCAACAGGAAAGTGACTGAGACACTGCCTAACATAATACACTCTCCTACATACAACTAGAAATGCAATTACCAAAGTCTCCAAAGCCTCAACAGGTCTAGAATTTTTCAAAAGTCCAAGTCCTTTCTAAGACTCAAGAAAAACTCTTAGCTAGCAACTCTGTAAAAATAAAAAATAAGTTGTGTAACCCTAAGGTGCAATGTCACAGGCAAATATTACCATTCCAAAAGAAAGAAATAGGGATAGCGAAGAACAGGACCAAAACAGAACTGAAACTCCACCGTAAGTGCCACATACTGGTAAGTTAGGGTTATGGTTTACATAGATTGGGAAATAGACCAGCATAAATGACTCTGAATTTGCTACTTTTCACTTTACATTCATATTGCTTCACCAGTAGGGAAAAATTCTGGGCACCTTAGACCCATTAGAAGAGTTATTTTGGGGATTATTTTTAAAAGATGTAAATATTTAAAATGCTTTTTGGTACAGTGTCAGGTTTGCCTTTTTCTTTTTTTTTTGTTTTTTTGTCTAAATATCTTCAAGATTTCAGTGATCAGTTTTTTATACAAATGAAATTGTACTCTTTCTATGTTATTTTGGACTGCAAATAATATCTTGGGATCAAACTTTATTCTGATTTAAATTTTGTACGTTTTTTTCATTCTTAGGAGATTTTACGATGATGGAGCAATTGTCTTGGGTGAGGAAGCAAATATGCTAGCTGGCATGCTGCTTGGGCTCAATGCTATTGATTTCAGGTATATAGTGTTTAACTAGATGAGATAAGTTTTTACATTACTTCTTACCAGTTTCTACTCAGAATTTTTCTCTTTCACTGTTCAGACAGTTGAATGTTAATATTTGACTCATGTTGTTCCCTTCCAAATGAGTTTGTTTTCTAAATGAGTTTTCTCTTAGAAAAGAGGTGGTCTCAAACTTGAGGAAGCGACAGGCTTGCTCTTCAGCTTGGGTAACATGAAAGCTTAGACTACATCTGCCTCATGTTGCCACCAGGCGCTGTGCTGCCAGCACAGAAGGAAGGTTTTGGATCTTTTAGCTATAGCTTCAAATTGAAAAGAAATGAACTAAAAGTTTTAAAGGAAGAAAAATTCTCACTTTCATTTCTGTTAAGATAAGGAATATTCTGGAAAGATATACTGGGTATCACACTGTATTATTTGCCTGAAATATAAAAAATATGAACATTTGCTTTTATTATCAACAAGATGAATTGGCTTCAGACTAAGATAACAAGTCCTAAAAATAGCCATGGTAAGTTCTTTCTAGATTTATGGAAGCATCTTTTTGCATTTCTTTAGTTGATACCAGATTTTATGTTATATTAAAGGTAAAAAGTTAAACCAGGTGTGGTGGTGCATGCCTGTAATCCCAGCACTCTGGGAGGCTGAAGCAGGAGGATCATAATTTTGAGCCCAGCCTGGGCAGTTTAGAGACTGAGCAAGACCCTGTCTCAGAATAAAAAATAAAAAAGGGTTGGTGAGGTATCTCAGTGGGAAGGTACTACAAAAATAAAAGTTAAAAGTTTGTCTATAAGAAAACTGAAAGAATGAAAGATTATATTTTTATTGAAATAAAGGGTTTGAAATTGAAGAACGTAATATTAACAAAATAAGACTTAAATGACTTTAGGTTTTGAATTTTAAAATCAGCCATTTCACAGAAGTTATCTTTATCTATCTAGTAAATCAGTTTTCCGGATGTTATTTTATAACTTTCCTCTGACTTAATAAACTATTATTAAATTAATTCACTTGATTTTTAGGATGACTTTGATAGGTAGAAAGAAAGACTTTTTGATTCCTCTAATGTTGTTAACTTTTTACATGGCGTGTCCTTGGCTTTATCTAAATTCTTTAAAACTTGCTTGTATTTGTTTGTTGTTTTTTGTTAACAAAACACCTGGTGTAAAGATGTTAACCATTGGTTTATTGTAAACCGCTGACACTGTGTAATCATGTGAAAACAAGTATTGATATATTAGTAATGTTTCTGTAAATTAAGGAAAGTATTGTCACTTTATATAAAGTGTTGTCACTTTAATTCCATCCTTATTCAAGTCTGAAAAAGTATCAATATTAATACACTGGAACAAGTATTTCAGCAAGCAGACTTCTGACACAGGCTAGACGGCGGTAGTTTTATAGACTTTTTTTCCTTCGAAAGATCAACCTACATCTTATTTGTATGCCTAGAAGATGTCCTTTTTTAAAATAAAAGACATCTTTCTAGAAGATGTTCTTTATTCTTTTAACAATAGATATCATAAAACTACATTCCATCGTTTAAAATTCACTGAGAGCTAGATATCCTTTATTGGCTCTACAAGGCCTACTGCATGACTTTGGGCAGGTCACTTGATCTTTGCCTTGTTCCCATGATCTGAAGTGCTGACTAGAGATGAGAGGATTATCGGCATCCTTTCTAGGTCTAATATCTAAGCCTTTGCAACTCCTATTTTCTAATTCATCAGATCTTTTAAGGGATGTACAGTATCACCTGAGAACTTGCTTCTAACTGTGAAAAACAAATCATTGTTTGGAAGTTCTCTAGAAACATCTTAAAAGTCTGGTAGAGCCCAAGAAACTATCAGACAAGGTTTGAGCAGATTTCTCAGCAAATTTTACTTTTGCTTCTTGATGGAATATTATATAACAGTGTGTTTGTACAATGGTTTGTCATTGGTATTGAAGACAGAATATTTTTGAGGATTTTTGGGGAAAAAATTGCAAACAAAAAGAAATTCACCTGAAATGTGATGAACAGTGTTCAGTAAAAAATTGTTTATAAGAGTTAGATTTGATATAATGCTTAGGTATTAATATAGAATGTTTATTGTCTACTTTCTCAGCTTCTGCCTGAAGGGAGAAGGTTTGGATGGCAGCTTCCCTGCTGTAATAGACTATACTCCATATTTGAAGTTTACACAAAGGTATTTCCCACTTTGAAACATATTGTGAAAACTTAACTCATAATTGAATGTCTGTTGTTATACAATGATCGTCTTGGTTAAGCTACTTTTTATAAAACATTTGTTTCAGTTTTAGACATGATCAGAGTGTAAATTCCAATTGCATTTTAGTTTTTATATAACTACACACATTGTATAATTACAATCTCAGTATATGATTTTTACATACAAAAACATATTGCTGTAGTTACAGAACAGTAATAACTATAATTGCTCTGAAATAGTCCATTGCATTTCAAAACTGTAACTTACTAATTATTTTCCATTTTATCTCCATTATAAAGAATAATGAACATCATCATACACATTAATTTTCCTTTTGTTTCTATTACAATTTTTCAGTTTTTTTAGATAAATTAATGACTTTCAAAAAATTTGATGACTTTTAAAAAGTGTATGTGTATAAAAGAGATGTACTAGTTTATTCTACTACCAATATTGTGTGAGATTTCTGGATTTCCCAGTTTCATCAGTATTAAAAATTAATCAAATGAGCCAGGCCAGTGGTGCATGCATATAACCTTAGCTACAGTACTTGTGAGGCTAAAGTAAGATGATAATAGGTTTTAGGCAAGACCTCAATTTTGTGACAATCTGTCTCAAAATACAAGATAAAAAGGGCTGGCAGTATGCCTCAGTAGTAGAGCACCCATGCCTTCAATCCCCAGTATCATAAGAAATGAAAGAAAGAAAGAAAGGAAGGAAGGAGAGGAAGGAACAAAAGGAGGGAAGGAGGCTATTTGTAAGGTCTACTTAAAAAATTGATCCCTTGAATAGCATGATAACCTGTAAGTACTTCTAAAGTTATAATCAGACTGAAGGTAAGGTACTGTTGTGTTTGTGTGTAAACCATATATGCATATAATACAAGGCCACCATACATGAATGCAAAATGCATTTACTGAGTGCCTAACATGGGAAAGATATTTTGCTAAGTGTTGGGGATGTATAGCTGTTAAATCTAGAGGGACTTGAGGACTCCTTTTGAAGGAGCACAGTCTCTATCTGAAGAATACCATATAGTGAAAGAAGTCACTGATATTTCAGAAGTAGGAATTTAAAGATACTTTGAGTGATATGGAAGAAGGAATAGTATAACACCAAGACTTCTAACTCAAATAAGTATACCCATTGGGGAAAGGGTGATTCTTATTAAATTAAGTCTGTAAAAAATATACCAAGATGTTTTGAGCAAGCATACAATTATACTGTTTGGAGTATATTGAATTATAGGACATTTGGGGAAGATAATCCTTCAAAAAATAATAGTAATAGTCATTGAATGTTTATTATATATCAAGCATTATTCTAAATGCTTTATTTGTGTTAATTTATTTACTCCTCACAAAACAGTGGAGTAGACAACACTTCCTCTTCAAGAAAGTTAAAACATGCAGAGGTTAAATAACTTGTCAGGAATCTCAAAACTACTTTGTGGCTGACTGGGAAGAAGGAAAGTCTGGAATTAAAGAGTAAAATGTCATCTAGAAGTAGGACTTAAGTCATCAACTTGTAGACAGGAAGGCGATTTCCTGTGATTTAGAAATAAC